CGCTGATCTCTGCTCACAGGTGGCATGGCCCCCCGAGTCCAGATGCTCTTCGCCAGTTCTTCAATGCCCTGTCTCTTTACTTCTCTGATCCTGCACGTCAACACAGCATAAGGGACACCCCACGACCCTGTGGGGCCTCCACAGCCCTACAGCAGCATTCAGAAAGAGCTCCTACAGCTCCATACCAACGAGGCAAGTCACTCAATAGAAAAATGGGTAAAAGCCATTTCCTAGATGAGGAAAGCAGGCTGACCAAGAAGCATCTGAAGGGAAACCAGGAATTAGGGTCAAAGTGGTCCCGGACTGGCCGTGCCCCGTAACCCTAGGCAGGATCACACACGAACCCTCTTGGGAGGAGGGTGACTTCCTCCTGGGCCTCAGAGTCAAAGCAGCACAGTGAGGAGAGGGTGGCTGCCCTCTGGAAAGTGTCAGCAGGGAGGCAAGGGAAGAGGAACGGGGTGACAGGCTCAGAAAATGGGAAAAGTCGCATAGAAATCATGCTGAGAAAAAAATAATGCTTCCCTAGGGAAGCCCATGGATGGAAGAGATGGACTGAACAGCCAGGGATGCTGAGCACAGAGAGGGAAGGGGACAGCACATTCCCAAGGGACAGCTGTAGCCAGGGAGGCTAGCCTGCCACAACGGTGGAGAGGAGAGGCGGGGCGGGGTGAGGCAAGGAGCGGAGTAAGAAAGGCAGAGGCAAGGCTCAGAAGGCCAGCGAGATGGACAGGGAGCTCTGCAGGGGGCTCCCAGGGATGAGAGGGGAGAAAGACTCTGAGAGGGGGCTGTGGTTTCAGGAAGGCGGCAGTAGCCTAGGGTGGGGGGCTGGCATGGGGTGCCATCAGCTGCAAAGCAAGATCTTTGGAAAACACAAGGACTTCCTAGAAGAGACACGATGTGTGGCACGATGGGGATGCAAGCAAGGCCTGAAGAAGAAAGCAGACCTTGAGGAGGAGAAACACTCCTGGCCCCAGGAGATGAGGTCAGCTGAGTGTGTGCTAGTGGGGTGCAGCCAGGCACAGCGGTTTCATGGGAGCACAGCAAGGAACCCGAGAAGGCCCCCCATGCCCGCAGTTGCCTGCCTGGGGCTCCGGAGGACCCCTCCGAGGGCCCCACAGGGGAAGGCAGGAGCAGGACGGGTCTGGGGAGGTGAAGGCTGGCCTGACCTGCTGAGAGACGAACAGAGAGGGAAGAGAAAGTCTTGTTCCTGCCAGGACATCGTAAATGGGAGGAGTGAGGTCAGAAATCAGAGCATTTTCGGGTTTGGTGCCGACTTGCTCTTGAGAATGAAAATCAAGACTCAGGTGCCATCTGGTCCCTTTCTCAGGGGTAGCCGAACACCACCCTCATCCCTACCTGACCTGGTGATGCCATTCTTCCTAGGCCCACTCACCGCTGCAGCTGCTTTCCTTTGACTTCTCCTCATCTGACCACAGACCATACCTCTGCTGTTTGCTACTACCCAGGGAGAATGTGCACTAATGTGCGCACTAACCCCACTGCCCAGCACACCCAGGAGAGTGGAGCAGCTGGGAGAGTTGGAAAACGGAGCCCTTATGTAGCCACCACGGGCTTCCCTGCTAGCAGCCACATGTGAGTATCCAGCTCATTAGGTGAGTTCTAGTTCTTCAAACAAGAGGCCACGGGAGGAAGAGCGGCAACCCACCATCCCGGGGATCCTCACTCATGGTGTGAAACCACTCCCAGCAGGTTCCGGGGTGTCTGGTAGAAGCCAGCAACCATTCTGGGGGGGAAGGAGCCCAGGAGGGGATGCTAGCACGGATGGGAATTGGAACTGGTGATCTGAAGGTCCCTTGCCGCCCTGAGGCTTACATCCCATAAAGGGGGACCCTCTCCTCCTCACCTCCAGCATTCCTGCTTCCTCAAGTTTCTCCAAGGAGAAGTAGGTGCATCTCACTAGAAAAGACGAGAAAGCAGCCCTTTGCTGATTCAACACTCACTAAGCAGATGCTGTGTCCTGGGCACCCAGTTTCAGCAATAAGTAAAACACCATCCTTGCCTTCAAGGAACTCAGAGAACATGCGGCACCCACAGACTCTTACAGCGCAATTACCACCCTGGGTTCCAAGAGCCTAATGTGGGGTGGGGAGGGAGGAGGTTAAAAATGCTATTAGAACTGGAGACAAAAGTCCCTAACACTGCGGTGGGACCGTGACGGTGACATTGAAGTCGTGCCTTGAAGGAGGCCAGGATTGCACCAGGACAAGGCCATGGGAACCGCCGCTGCAAAGCAGGGAGACCTGGGGCAGCAGGCTGATGGCGACCTGTGACTAAACTGCACAGCGTGAAGCCAGGGAGTGTTCGGCTTAAGGGTGGAGAGAGCTGGGCCGACTCCCTGAGCTGTTAGGACTTCAACCTGAGAAGGCCTGGCAGGGGTTTCAGTAGAGGATTGCTAGGGACAGATTTGTGACTTAGAAACTAAACTGAAAGAGTGTGGAGGACAGACCCAAGGGAGGAAAGACAGCGGCCTCCAGGTTGGTCAGGAGGCTCATGGAATAGTGCAGGCTCCAGACCATGAGGCCTGAACTCAGGAAGTAGCAGCGGGGATGCAGGAAGAGGAGCAGTTTGGTCTCATCGGGCACTTCAGAGGCACGGACCTGGAACTTGGTTATGAAGTCCACGTGGGGGACTGGGTAAGCGGAGGGACAAAGGAGCACAGCATGCCGGCGCTGCGGAACCTGAGCCCTGACTGAGATGGAAAAGACAGTTTGAGAAGCAAGTTCGCCAGGGAAGTTGGGCTGAGTGTTGGGCGACTTAGGTCGGAGGAGCGGCAGGACATTAAGAGTGGGGATGTTTCTCAACACCCGCAAGAGGCGTTAAAAAGACAATCCCTCCAGACCCCATTGGCAAGCACTGACAGAGTTGCTAGGACACAGGAAAGCTGGCCTGGGGGGCTCAGCCCTGCAAGACTCAGCCTACCACTGCGGGGACCCCAGACAAGTGTTCCCGCCCTTCTTGCTGCTTCCATGCCCTATGGAGGGAGACTCTGAGGGTGCAGTTAGGTCGCTGGGGGCAAGTTTAGACTCTTGCCTAAGGGTGCAGCACAGAAGTGCCTCAGCTCCGTCCTCCAGCTCCATCCTCCAGCTCCATCCTGCTCCTCAAGCGGCACAGCCTGCCTTCTCCCACAGCTTCACCCCAGTTCTGCTGTGCTCCACCAGCATCTCCACCATCAGCTCTTCCTCCTGCAACTCCGCCCAGGCTGCTTCTCCCGCAGCTCCACCCCAGCTGTTCCAACTCCTAGCTCCTTCTCCCGCAGCTTCGCCCCCAACTCCTCCTCCTCCCAGCACTAACCAGTTCTGCCCACAGCTACGTCCTCCTCCTGCAGGTGGCTCCTCCAGAATCTCTGACACAGTTCCCGCTGCAGCTCCACCCTCAGCTTCTTTCTCCCAGCTTTTTCCCACAGCCCCATCCTACTCCCCATGCATCTCCACGCCCAGCTCCAACTCCTCTGGCCCCTTCCTGGTTCTCCTACCCCTCTGCCCACCCCAGCATCTTTCAGCTTTCCTCCAGCTCTGCACTAGCTCCTCCCCAACCCTGCTCACACCCCAGCCTTGCTCTAGCTTGGCTCCTCCTTTCCCAGCTCATTCCCGCAGCCCCGCCCCATCTCCCACAGCGCTTTGCACAGCCCCGCCCTGCTCCTCCTCTGGAACCTCCAGGCTTTCCCTCAGCTCCACCGGGCAGCTGAGCTATGCACCAGGCCCTCCTGCAGCGCTTTCTCATGACACCCCCCTGCACCTCCCCAGTCCTCGCACCCCAGGCTGGTTCTCAGGAATCCGCGGGGTGCTCCCGCAGCTGCTTCTCGCTCAGCTCTTCCACAGCTTCGACCTGCTTCTCCCGCCACGGATTCCAAAGCCCCGCCCCCCGGACCTCCCCAGGGGGTCTCTCTCGGCTCCGCCCCGTCCCTCTCAAGGCTGCTTCAAAAGCCCCGCTCCAGCCCCGCCCCAGAGATGTCTCTCCCCCACAGCCCCGCCCTACTCCTCCCGCGGCCGCTTGCGAGACCCCGCCCCCAGCCCCCTCCCCAGCGGTTTCTCGCAGCCCCGCCCCACCTCTCCCCTAGCCCCACCCTGCTCCTCCCGCGGCTACTTCCAAAGCCCCGCCCCCATTCCCTCCCCAGCCATTTCTCAGCACCGCCCGGATTCCCGCCTCTCCCCCCAGCCCCACACTGCTTCTCTGTGGGTTTCCAAAGCCCCGCCCTCAGCCCCCTACCCAGCGGTTTCTCTCAGCCCCTCCCCTCCCAAAGCACCGCCCTGCCTCTGCGGCTGCGTCCAATGCCCCACCCCCAGGGTTACTCTCGCCCCGCCCCATCCCCAGCTCCGCCCTGCCTCTCCGGGGGCTCCTTCCAAGGCTCCGCCCCCAGTCCCCTCCCCAGCAGTTTCTCAGCCCCGCCCCCCCGAGCCACGCCCCTACCCAAGCCCCGCCTCGCTTCTCCTGTGGGTGCTGCGAAAACCCCACCCCCAACCCCTCCCCAGCGGTTTCTCTGAGCCCCGCCCCTCCCCACCCCAAGCCCCGCCCTGCTTCTCCCGCCTCTGCTTCCAAAGGCCCGCCCCAGCCCCTCCCCAGCGGTTTCTTTCAGCCCCACCCTCCTCCTCTCACCGGCCCCCCTCCTCTCACCGGCCCCCTCCCTCCTCGCGCTGGTTCTCAGGAGTCCGCGAGCACCTCCTGCAGCCTCGCTCAGATCTCCCACGGCCCCACCCACAATGGTTTCGTCCAGCCCCCCCAACCCCGTCTAATTTCCGCCCCACTCAACCCCGCCCCAGCGATTATCTCAGTCCCGCCCTTCCCCTCCCCAGCTCTGCCCTCCTCCTCTCAGCCCCTACCCCCCGACCCTCCCGAGTGGTTTCTCCCAGATCCTCCCTGCTGGTCTTTCAGCTCTGAGCTTAAAACTCCTGCCTGGTGGTCTTGTCCCGCCCCTCTTCTTTTTCCTCCCTCCGGTTCCTTTCCCTCCTTCCGGTTGTTTGTCCAGGCTGCTGGTCTCCAGCTCCCCTGCTGGCCTGGTGGGCTGGCGCACGGCAGGACCCGTAAACTGAATAGCGTCTCCTGGCGGCCAGTGTGTGCGTAAGTGCGTGATGACGCCACTACGTGACCTCACGAAGACCACTCTTCTAAAGACTTGGCTGTCTATATGCAAGGCTGAGTACGTGCCTCTTGCGTACGCGCGTGATGTACGTACGTGCGTGGTGTACGTACGTGCGTGTTACGCGCCCCCGTACGTTCTTCGTGAAAGGGATGACGGGAGCTGCGTGAAAGCGGAAGAGTTGCGGACTGTTAAGCACCTGTCACTAACCCCTGGTTTCCCGGAGTCAGTGGCAGCGAGCGACCTTGCATCCCAGACAGGAGCCGGGAGCTCTTTGTTCTCACCGCGGCCCACGTCTCCTCGCTTGCGAGCCCATCATCCTGGCTCCGGTGGCCTCGCTGGGTCGCGGGGAGGCGGAGGACTGTTTTTCTGTTGCAAAAAGCCAGAGTCGGCCCTGGGCGCGACGACTCTCAGGGTCCGGAGGCCGTAACACCGGCCGCGGCTGAAAGGTACGGAAGGCTGTGTGCTGGGCCGTCTTGCGGACACCACCTGAGGGCTGGGGTTTCCCTGGATGTGAGTCTGGGAACCCGTATGGGGCGCGCCCAAGGCACCCATTCCTGTCCCGTGCTCTCGCCAGGGTCTCAGCGCCGCTCCTGCTAAGCGTGTCTACTCGCGGCATGCGTCTGCGAGTAGAAATCCTGTGTGTTCGGGCCGGGCGCGGTGGCTCACGCCTGTAATCCCAGCACTTTGGGAGGCCGAGGTGGGCAGATGGTCCGGAGTTCTAGACCAGCCTGACCGACTTGGAGAAACCCCCGTCTCTGCTAAAAATACAACAGTTTTAGCCGGGCGTGGCGGCGCATGCCTGGAATCCCAGCTACTCCCCAGAGGCTGAGGCAGGAGAATCGCTTGAACCGGGAGGCGGAGATTTCGGTGAGCCGAGATCGCACCATTGCACTCCAGCCTGGCGACAAGAGCGAAACTCTGTGTCAAAAAAGTTAAAGCCCTGTGCTGCTCCACACATACCGACCCCATCTCGGCCCGGTCTTCCCTGCCTCCAGCTTGGACCCTCTGCTGTGAGCTCGCCTGGACCTGAGGCCAGGCAGTGCACAGCTCTGTGGCCTGTGGCATCGTGCTCAGCGTGACCTACCCAGAATTAAGCTGAGGGGAATGAGATGTAGGCCCCCCAAACCCTCGCCCAGTGACAATGGGAGGGGCAGTGGCATTTTTCTCCCCTCGGATGGAGCATGCTCAGTTGTTGGAATGCGACTCAACTTCCTGAAATGATGTTCTGCCCTGCGGGCCGGTGCACCCTGTGGCCCTTGACCCAGACAGGTGCCGAGGGTCCCATTGCTGTGATGAGCAGAACCGAACTGAGTGAGGTGCACAGGTGTGTTACTCATAAGACCGGCACTCCCAGCTCTTCTTGGTTTCCAATGCCTGCTAAGGAGATGACCTTCCTAGGGCCATTAACCAGCCTTGCTGTTTTGCATGTAATGACCTTTCCTCCTTGTCTTCCTCGTTGTGCAGGTAAAGAAGCTACGTGGAAGAGTGCTTCCTCCTCAGGCCGCAAAGCAGGTACTCTCTGCAGCACCAGGTAGGAGGGGACGCAACCCCCTTCTTGCCTTTCCAGTTACGTGAGTTCTTACTAGGGATTCCACACACACCCAGTTCACGTTTGTTGTGATTCTGTGGTGATGACGAGAAAAGGGTTGGCTGAGAAACTGAGCTGTGGAAAAGAGGCAAACATTCACTGTAGCCACATATCCCGATGGCTCTGGCCAGGCCCTGTGGGGGACATTCAACCTCCGTCGGAAGTAATCCAGAACCAAGGAACCTGGTGATAGTTTGTCACCCGTCAGCAGAATAATGATGCTCAGAGCCACGTGTGTGTGAGGAAATGGCACCGTGGATGGGTTGGTGGAGTGTACACGGGTGAGTCTTTGTGGAAGGCCATTTGCTGGCAGATATCAGCATCTTAGATGGGCGTGCCCAGGCGGCCGAGGCATTCTCTTCAGCAGGTCTTCACACGGCGAGTGTTAGTGGAAGTGTCATTTCTAGTGGCAAAAGTGGGAAGCAGCTTGTAACTCTCCATCAGTGGAGGAATGGTCAGGCAAATTGTGGGGCGACCAACGATGGGATATCACACAGGCAGTGAAAAACAAGGTAGATGAAGATGGGCAGATGGAAAGAATGGGCTTGATGTGCCGTTAAATGGAAGAGTCATGCCCTATCCTGTGGAGATGTATTGGGAACAGCAGTTTGCCAAGATGGCTGAAGCAAAGGACCATAAAGGGGCTGGCTTAAACTACAGACATTCGTTGTCTCACAGTTCTGGAGGATGGAAGTCTTAAATCCAGGTGTTGGCCGGGTTCGTTTGTTCTGTGGGCTGTGAAAGACAATCTGGTCTGTCCGTCTCTCTTAGCTTCGGTTGGCTGAGCGGCACTCCCTGGCTTGTAGAAGCATCTCCCTTATCTCTGCCTTTGTTTTCTCATGATGTTCTCCCTGTGTGCATCACTGTCTAACGTCCCTCTTTTCATAAGGACGCCAGCCACGTTGCATGTGGGTCAACCCTAATGACTTCAGTTCTGCTTGATCACCTCAGTAATGACTCTGTCCTTATGTATAAGGCCACATTCTGAGGTGCTGAGGTTTAGGACATACCCATTTTAAGAGAACGCAATGCAACCCATCACAACAGACAAAAGCCCTGAGGTAGACACAAGCTTGGCATGTTCCCTCAGTGGATGGAAGGCCTGTGTGGCTGCAGGGTGGTGAATAACGGGGAGAGGAGAGGACATGGCTGGGGCGGGAAGCCTCTGCGACATCCCGAGAGACTCTGACTGGGCTGATGTTCTGGCTTCGAGCCCATGGCTCCTTCTGAAGCACAGGGCTGTACTCCATGCAGGAGGAGGGGACCCTCTCCCAAGGTACACACGCAGGAGGCAGGGACCCAGGCAAGAGGCGTGAGAAGTCAGAGCACGTGTGACGGTGGGCTGGCGCCTCATTCTCCTCAGCCATAGACTGGGCCTCGCAGTAGCACTGACCCTGCTGGGTTACTTGGGGATTCCATTTGATGATCTGAGGATCATGCCATCCCAGAGGCTGGCATGTGGAAGGCATGTGTTTTGGGGGGTGGCAGTTGTTCTGATTTTCATTCTTTTTTCAGCTCACATCAGGGACAGGGGTGTCTGCTGACATGGAATGCAGTGGTGGGGGAAAGGGCTTGAGGAAGGTGGCACCCAGCGGGGTAGGGAGGAGATGCCTGACTGAGGACCGTCTGAGGTCATGGTGCATCCTGAGAGCAGAGCTGAGATTGGATATCAACGACGTGGGCTCAGCGGCCCTGCAGTAGAAGCCAGGAAGGTCAGTGCCTTGGTGGCAGCAAGGCCAGGGCACTGAGAGTACTGGCGGGGCACAGCAGGGGGAACAGAAGAGAAGCAGAGCCTGGGACTGTTCCTCTGTGCTGGAAGAGGGCTAACACCAGCCCCGCCTCTCCACTCTGTCTAGGCCGAGGGGCCCCTCTGTCCTCTGTGTTCCCTAGGGCTTGGTGACCTCTGTCATAGCACTGACCACACGCTGTCTGGCCTGTGCCTTCCTCTAGCTGCCCCCACCCTACTCCAGACCTCCCCAAAGACTCCATGAGATGGACCTGAGTCAGCCGAGTCCCAACCCCTTTTCTTGGGCCTGCCGTGGCGCTGGACATCAGTGACTGCGTAGTGACACACGGAAGCAGTGGACCATCAAGGTCAGTGGGATTTAAGGGACCTGGGAGACACGGGGGGAAAGGTCAGGACCACTGCCAGTGAGCTTGGCGGGCTGGCGTGTGACGCGCTTCTGTGCTTCGGCAGGCCACACACAGGAGGCCCCCGGAGCTTGCGAAGATGAAGTTTGGCTGCCTCTCCTTCCGGCAGCCTTATGCTGGCTTTGTCTTGAATGGAGTCAAGACTGTGGAGACGCGCTGGCGTCCCCTGCTGAGCAGCTATAGGAACTGTACCATCGCCATCCACGTTGCTCACAGGGACTGGGAAGGTGATGCCTGGCGGGAGCTGCTGGTGGAGAGGCTCGGGATGACGCCTGCTCAGATTCAGGCATTGCTCCGAGAAGGGGAAAAGTTCGGTCGAGGAGTGATAGCGGGTAAGTGACGATGTGCCAAATGCGCAGGCAACTCCTGGAGCTGCCACCCAAGATCTTGCTTGGGAGTGTGGGGCCTTCTGTTGTCGTCTGAACTGATTGGCTTGTACACCACAGTTTCCTTTGACGACAAACCTCCAAATGGGCGGCGAGGGCCCTGGGCTGGGGGTTGGCAGGCCTAGCTTCCGCATGCTCTGCTAAATTGTTTCTCCACTCTGGGCCCCAGTTCCTGTTTCTGATCGCAGTGAGAAGCCGGGTCAGGTCCCTGTGCACATGGCGCGTGTGGTGGGGGTGTGTGTGTGTGTGCGTGCGCGGGTTGCACATGTCTGCCAGAGACCAAGAGAAGCAGCCCAGCCTGCCGAATGGGTCAGGTGGCCTCTAGAGTTAGGCTGTCTGCCTGGCTTCACGAGCCTGCCCCAGCCCCACCACTCACGGCACCCTGGGCGAGTCCCCTAACCTCTGAGTGATTGAGTTCTGACATCAGCACCTGTCCCCTGGTGACCTGCGTAGGCATCACCCGTAGGTTCCCAGGCGGTGGCCGGTGCCCTTCCAATCTGCAACCGCTGCCCTCAGCAGTCTGGCTTGGACCCGCCTCTTACTTGTGTGGCTTCACTGAGGACAAGACCCTCTCCTCTGCCTTTCTGGAGCCCTCCCCACTGCCTTTCCCAGCATTCGCTGCACTGACTTTGTTTCGTTATCAAAGCTGTGGAAGAAAGACTTGACCCCCTTCTTGTCATTTTGCTGATGCCATCTTACTTTCTATTGATTGTGACTTTGAGTAACTGTGTTGTCACACAGGCAGGCCTTGGGCTATGGAAGTGAAAAGCATTCATGTGTATCTCTCTTTGTGTACAGGACTCGTTGACATTGGGGAAACTTTGCAGTGCCCCGAGGACCTAACTCCTGATGAGGTTGTGGAACTAGAAAATCAAGCTGTACTGACCAGCCTGAAGCAGAAGTACCTGACTGTGATTTCAAACCCCAGGTGGTTACTGGAGCCCATGCCTAGCAAAGGAGGCAAGGAGGTATTCCAGGTAGACATCCCAGAGCACCTGATCCCTTTGGGGCATGAGGTGTGACAGGTGTGGGCTCCTGAGAGGAATGTTGCAGGGAAACCAGCTAAATCATGATTTCAATTCACCATCAGTTGAAACCAGCTAAATCGTTTAGGTGCTTTCAGTTCACCATCATGACGCAGACCTACATACATTAGGTTAAATCTGAATTTCCCCTGCTTTGGAGAGTCCCAGCCACTAAGCACTGTGCATGGAAATAGGTTTCTTTGCTCAGATGAAGGAAGTAGGGGGCGGGGCTTTCCTTGTGTGATGCCTCTTTAGGCACACAGGCAGTGTCTCAAGTACTTTGTCCTTTGGGTAGAAGGAAAAGCTGCCAGTAAATGTCTCGGCATGGCTACAGTTTTGGTCCTGCTAATTTCTGGATTATACAAATAAATGTGTTGTAGATGACTGGTTATGAGGCTCCATTCTATGTTTTCCCCTGTCTTTATTCTGGTCAGAACTCATCAAATCTGGCATCCAAGCGACATTACAGAAAGTCGGACCTGGCACTGAATGTTTGCCTGGTAGTGAGCAGCCATTAATGGACTGACTCATCCAGGATGGAGAGGACGTCAGACAAGAGCAGCTGTCTGTCCTTTCAGGTTACTCTCACTCTCTTATGAAAGTGTCTGTCAGTTCCTGAAGCACGTGTGTCATCTGCATCACACAGCTACTTCATATCCTAGCAGTGGCCCTTCTCTTCTGAGCCAGGATGTTACAGTGGTCATAAATCCCTTGGCCAAATGGGGTGACCTGACTCAGGGGGCCCCGGTAGGCTAGGCTAGGGATGCTGACCTGCTGATGAGACACTTCCTGGCAACACTGGGAGGGACCCATGGGGAAGAATCTCCTGTTTAAAGATACTGCCAGGATCAGGAGTGAGGCTATTCTTTCTCCTGACCAGCAGGCAAATCTCAGGCGACCAGGTCTTCTTGGGCTTGGCCTCGATGCTTCCTAGCAGCATCCTTTGCTGGGTGTGTGAAAATGCTGCTTCTCCAAATGAATGAGGACAGTGGGGACCAATGCCTGTCTTGGACAGGATTTTCAGCCTCTTCTGGCTTGTGCCAATGAGATGCGTATAGTATAGAAGGTTAGAAAGAACACAGACAACAGTTCTCATTTAAATAATTTATTTTCATGGAATTTTGTTTTTCTTTATTTAGAGCAAGAGGTCTTCATGAGAATGATAATAATAAATGTCATCATAAGGATAACACACACCAATATAAAAACCAACAGAGTGGAGTAATGGGCATTGTACAAAGACCTTGTACTACTATTATCTTGTTAAACCGGGCTACTAGGCACTTCCCTTGTGCTTTCCATCCCGGCAGTAGCCGAAGATCCAAATATGATGTTTCCAGAAGTGCCCTCCCAATATGGGTCATTTGGTTCCTGAGGGGGCCCATGTCCCGGAGTATGCTGAGTGACAGAATTCCTGGACCGTATATTAGGATATTCGAAGGTCTGGGTGCCGCTGGGTCCCTGAACATTTGCAGTTCCCCCATGGGACATTTCCATGGCCGTATTTCTGGCGTCGCTGTGAACGACCAGCTTCGCCCTCTTTGGAGCTGGGACATTGGTCGCTTGCTGAGTGGCATGGGTGCGGTTACCTTTACTTCGAATATTCAGCAGAAGCCAGGGCTTGTCTCTCTGAAAATTGGAGTGGTAGATCGGAAACAAAAGGAAGTACGTTAGTTGTTCTGAGATCAATTATTCCTTTCCTGCTTCCCAAAATTATGATCTCGTTTTGCAATGGAGAAAAGAATGCTTTAAGTGGCAGCAAGTGTGGTATGCCCTACAGCATGACCTGACTGGAGATAAACAATTCATAGGTCAAGGTGGTGATATACAAATAGTATGAATTTTGATATTGAACTGCAACCCCCTTAGAGGTAATATGCAGGTCTGGATAATATGTTCCTTTATATTATCTTTAAGGGAATTGTAGTTTAATGTCAAAATTCATACTTTTAAAATTGTATAGTTTGCATCTTTCAATAAACAAATACCTCACATATAAAAAAGTTGTCTTTGATACTTAACTCTTTTACAGTATATTATTTGTGTTGGTGTCCTATGAAGATGTTTGAGAAACAAAGGAAAGGGATTACAGAAATGCTTTCTACTTTACCATCAAATTCTTGTCTCTTGGAGAGGTGGTTGGGCATATTGTAGAAAAACTGTACAGGTTTAGTTGGCAAGTGAAACTCTTCAAGCTATCTGTTTTGAAGATCTTCTCGGCTCCTTTTCTTTGGAGAATGTCCCTCTGGAAGAGATCCTTCTTGATTATCACAGCATCTCTACTGTCATTCCATTTGACAGACTGGAATGTGCCTTCCTCCGCCATCATCCAACTCTTTCTTGGGAACGAAAGCCTAAAACGGTGGTAGTTGTGTTCCATGCTGTCTGTGCATTGTTGTTGGTCTGCTGGTGGTGGGTTACCTTGGGAACCTGAGTCTTGGCTCACGGCTTGGTCCTCTTGCCTGTCCAAAACCTCCCGGGAATCCAGATTTCGATCAGGTGGTGAACTAGATGGGCCCCCACTTGTTGGTTCTCCACTAACAGATGGGGCCAGCTTGGCTTGGTATTGCTGTTTAGTATTCTGACTCGCCATGGAGCTACACCAGAATCTGGGGCATTTTGTACCCAAGACCGTTAACACAGTCTTAGCAAGTCCGAAATGCCTTCAGTCGGAGTGAGGGTGCCCAATAAATACTGTCCACAAAATTCTTGAGTCTTGGTATCAGGGCAACCAGCTGCTTAACTCATCATCTGCTTTATTTTTCACATGATGTCACAAAGGTGGCTCTCAGCCAATCTGGAGAGGGGGCCCTGGCCAGATGCTGGGGGAGGAGACAGGTAGCGTAGCTTTCAGCTTCTCCCTTTCCTAAAAGTGGTTTAAGTGACCAGAGAGTCTCCCGTCTTCTGACAGGCACATTGTGTCATAGGGCCAGGCCCCAGATGAGCTGAGGAACCATGACTCTATGGCCATTCCCACCCCTGAAGACGGGGGAGGCCTTTTGCTAGCCTCTGATTTGCTCAAGAGCCAGCCCCTATTTAGCCCTAGCTTGGGTTTCACCAAGACTGCCTGAGTCAGACGGGCCCCTCACGGGTGACTGCCTTCTAGGAGATGGTGGTCCCTACCAGGCTGTTGGGCCTGGTCTGTGTTAGTAGCATCCCCCTTTTACAATCCCCCCCATCTCCTTCCTGCTTGGTCTCTTCCAGGTACTCCTAATGATTGGTTGGATCTGCGCCAGTGGGCCCAGATAAAGTGTTTCTTATTCCACTTGATGGAGTTGTCCCCGGAGGGGTGCTGTGCTTAAGTATGGTGGGAGCACTCCTCTCCTTCCTCTACCATGGTGTTACCCAAAGCACCATTTGCGGTTGGATGGCCACATCCTCAGCTATGCTTTGGAGTCTCCTGTGGAGCTCTGCTTGCCCCTGCATCTCTCTCTCTTGCAGATCACAACAGGAGATTACCTTTAGTTTCTACTTTTGCTCATAAATACTGTTTTCATTGCCCAAGACATGCTCATTTCTGAGGCCTGCTGTACACAGACGATCCTAAGAAAAGTTTCTACTTGTTTAGTTAGACCTGGTTAAAGTAATCCAGCACAAAAGTGCCATCATTGTGTATTTGAAAATAGATGAGAATGGGAGTGTGTGTTGGGGCGGGCAGGAGGAAGGAGAAAACCTAAATGAAAGTCATCTTCAACCCCAGATGAGAGGATACAACAGTCTTTTGGTTGATTCACCTTCTCTAGCCATTAAAGACAACTTTGTTGTTAATGTTCACTCTGTATAGGGAGACAGAGTGATACAGTGGAAAGGCCCCAGGCTGAAAGGACCCTGGGCCCTTGTCCCATTGGGTAGCACCCTTTGCCCACTCGGGGTCAGCCCTGGGTGCGAAGAGGGTTGGAGGAGGCTCTCCCAAGGTGCCTTTTAATCTGAGGGCTTTCTAATTTTTCATAGTGCCCCACATGCCTGCATGCAGGTTTGGATCATAGTCATCATGCTTTTTAAACAGCGTTACAAAGGTTTTGTTCAAGGACTCGATGTAACCTCTAGGTTCACATACTCTGAGGCTAAATATTAAAATATTGGTGACATCTCTAAAGGAGGATCCTTGAGTATTCAGTTACACAGCTGGCATCTTTCACTTACATACCAAAGTGCTTTTTCATAGGGGAGTTCGTAACACTGCAAATGACACTTAGTTGTGGCTTTTGTGACCTCATGAACCCTGCTGATTACTTTTGTAAGGGCCTTTGGCCATCATGTGGGAGGGGAACAATCATGAAGAAAATCAGTAGGGAAACTACACGGTAGCATTCAGCCAGGAGCTGGTATTGATTTGATTTAGTCACACTATGTCATGTGGCTTCTGTAGGACCATTACCCACCATTCTCCTTGGTTTTAAGTCACAGAATGTCCACTGGGATTACAAGTCTAAGACATCAAGCTACTCTTATCCCCTGGAGGGAATATTTAGGGTACTGACTTAAATCTAGTCAAGAAGAGTCATGGGAAAGCTGGCCTCTGGCTGAGCCTGCTCAGTCCCCAAAGTTCAGCTTTGCAACCTTCAGCAATCATTCAGACAGTCTTTATGAGTCACCTGCCTCCTGCAAGCCCCTTTGAGGAAGATGGTTGGTCTTCTCTTCCTTGCTGCAAAGGCCCCTGAGGTGGCCCCTGCATTGCTGCTTTATGAATGAAATAATCATGGTCAGACGACCCAAGCAGAGCACAGCTGACTAGGGTATGAGGACCAGTGGCCCTGTGGAAGGCAGTCTCAGTGCTGACTTGCTGCAGCTTCTCTGTAGCTGTGCAGTGATCGAGAACAGTGCTGAGCTCTTGACAGTGGGGCCCCGAGGCATGAGGCCAGCCGCAGGGCAAGACTCACTATGTAGGCCTTGCCTGTCACATGATCCCCCAGGCCCTTCCTCATCCTACCCTTGGCCTTTCAGGAGCTTCTTCCTTGCTGATCTCTCCCAGGCTCTAGGATGTGTCCCTGCAGTTGGTTCATCCTACCCCAGAGGAGTCTTTCTTCTCCTTCTTCTTCTTCTTCTTTTTTTTTTTTTTTTTTTTTTTTTATTTTAACTTTTAAGTTCTGGGGTACATGTGCACATCATGCATCATTGTCACAAAGCTATACACGTGCCATGGTGGTTTGCTGTATCCATCCCCCTGTCATCTACATTAGGTATTTCTCCTAATGTTATCCCTCCCCAATCCCCCCTACCCCCTGCTGTCCCTCCTCTAGCTCCCCCACCCCCCAACAGGCCTTGGTGTGTGATGTTCCCCTCCCTGTGTCCACGTGTTCTCATTGTTCAACACCCACTTATGAGTGAGAACATGTAGTGTTTGGTTTCCTGTTCTTCTGTCAGTTTGCTGAGAATGATGGTTTTCTAGCTTCATCCATGTCCCTGCAAAGGACATATGCTCATCCTTTTTTTATGGCTGCATAGTATTCCATGGTGTATATGTGCCACATTTCTTTATCCAGTCTATCACTGATGGGCATTGGGGTTGGTTCCAGGTCTTTGCTATTGTAAACAGTGCCACAGTGAACATACATGTGCATGTGTCTTTATAATAGAACGATTTATAATCCTTTGGGTATAGACCCAGTAATGGGATTGCTGGGTCAGATGGCATTTCTATTTCTAGATCCTTGAGGAACCGCCACACTGTCTTCCACAATGGTTGAACTAATTTACACCCCCACCAACAGTGTAAAAGTGTTCCTATTTCTCCATATCCTCTCCAGCATCTGCTGTCTCCAGATTTTTAAATGATTGCCATTCTAACTGGCATGATACGGTATCTCAATGTGGTTTTGATTTGCATTTTTCTAACGACCATCAATGATGACCCTTTTTTTCATATGTTTGTTGGCTGCATAAATGTATTCTTTTGAAAAGTGTCTGTTCATATCCTTCACCTAGTTTTTGATGGGGTTGTATTTTTTATCTTTTAAATTTGTTTAAGTTTTGGAGATTCTGGATATAAGCCCTTCGTCAGATGGGTAGATTGCAAAATGTTTTGCCCATTCTGTTGGTTGCTGGTTCACTCTAATGATAATTTCTTTTGCTGTGCAGAAGCTCTTAAGTTTAATTAGATCCCATTTGTCTATTTTGGCTTTTGTTGGCATTGCTTTTGGTGTTTTAGTCATGAAGTCCTTGCCTATGCCTGTGTCCTGAATGGTATTGCCTAGGTTTTCTTCTAGGGTTTTTATGGTGTTAGGTCTTATGTTTAAATCTTTAGTCCATCTAGGGTTAATTTTTGTATAAGGTATAAGGAAGTGGTCCAGTTTCTGCTTTCTGCATATGGCTAGCCAGTTTTCCCAACACCATTTATTAAATAGGGATTCCTTTCCCCATTGCTTGCTTTTGTCAGGTTTGTCAAAGTTCAGATGGGTGTAGTTAGTTCCTGGGCCCCAGAGGAGTCTTTCTAAACTGTGGCTCAGAACTTGTCAGTTGTGTAAGCACCAACCCCTCACTCCTCCAAGGCCTTCCTTTCCCAGCCTCATTAGCCACTGGGCCCTCTTTCTTGCACACTTAGGCATCCGCCATGCCTAACCCTCCTTCACTGAGCATTTGCTTAATGCTGGGTCCTGGGTAAGACAACTCTCAACCTCTGGTTCCCTCTGGTGCTGTTTTCTGAGCACACTGTGAACTTCCTTGCTGGTGTGGGTGCTTGTGCTGCCTCTCCCATGGGAACACCCTTTTCAACCCAGAAGCCACTCAGCTTGACAGGGGTCAGGTCACCCCATGAGGCCAGCTGGCAAGAGTTATTCCTAGGGACTGGCCCACCACAGCTCTCCACCATTGGTTGGGTGGGTCCAGAGCTCCTGTGAGGTTGGGCATGTTAATGGGCTGTGTCCGCTCTGGACTAAGAGGCCTGTGAGGATGGCTGAGACCACAGTGCAGATGTGGCCCTCAACATACACATGTTGGATGAAGAAATTTCTGTGTCACCGGGAGCTCAGTGGGGTTTAGTATCCTTGGACATTGCTCTACACTAGAACAGTGCTGACAGGACAATTATTGTGAGCTCCTACTGAGACAGGAGAATAGGGTCTGGAGACAGGGAACTTGGTAGGCCAATCTGTGCTAACTTCCTAAGAGAGAAAACACCAAGGTCTGGGGGCAGGAAATCTAAGGTCAGTTCACTCTGACTTCCCAAAGCTGAATCAAAAGGAAAACACCTGGGTCTGGGGGCAGGAAACCTGAGGCCAATTAACACAAACTTCCTAAAGCTAAACCAAAAGGCAACCCCATATCTCCAGGCTGAGTAACAAAGGATCAGAGGCTACTCTCCCTACACCCATCCCCCTTCCACCACATCTCAGGTGGAAAGGGAGGGTGCCTAGGATTGGCCATGGGCCAAGCAGGGACCATCCCTCCATCTGCATGGGGTGCCAGTTCACCTCAGCCTTTAGCCACAGACAAAATCCTTCATCCAGATAGAGGGTAGCCGATAAGAACCTCAAGTGGGGGTTTGAGAAAAGAAAACTTTGTAACTGAGCCCCTGAGCCACTTGCTCGGTCCCACTCACACTCTGCGCAGCGCTTTCTCATTTTAATAAATTCCTGTGTCACTGCTTTGTTCCTG